CCCCTAATACCAGGGATAGACTTGCACTCCACAGAACATGTAATCACCTGTATTGTTCCTCTGACTTTAACACCTTCCCTCTCTCCTTTCGCTGAGCTGAGGCTGCCTTCAAGACATAGCTCATGGATGACTCTTCCAAGGAACTATCTAGAGCATGGCTTGCCGAGTCTGGTTAGGGATCCTCCCAGGGTGCAGCTTGCTTACTGAGTCTGTCATAGCCCTTGTCACTCCTTGTTGGAATCGTCACTTTGGGTCTGTCTCCCCACTTTCACCGACTGTCGTTGCAGTTGTTCATTTTGGAATTCCCTGTTCATTCAGCCTCTGAATTTTAGGGATAAAATTTTACGGGTAAATTTAGAGGTAACTCCCTTTTTCTGCTCTAAGCCTAATTATGCTTTTAAAATAAACAATGAGTTTAAGAATTCCCAGATACTGAGAGTTTCACAGAACAAAATACGATTATTATGCTGGACCTTTATTGCATGTAAAACAGTATGACGAGACACTAGGATGGTCTAATGTTGAGTTCTGATGCCCTGTGCCTATGATACTTGTCTGCTTTTTAAAAAATTTTTATTTTTTGCATGTCTAAACAGTTCCAGATTCTGCCCAACGTTTGGAGATAGACACAGACGCTTTACCTTCCTCTCCATTCCAGGCCCCTGCTTCCGGGGTGTCTGGTTCTTTTTATAATCTCTATTGGGGGAGATACAATTGGTAGTGCAGGGTTCAGTCATGACTTCGTTACCTCATTAGGCATCATGGGCAGGTTCTCTATTCTTTCATAGCAACATTAAGCAGCAAGCCAGCATACTTTGGAAACAAAATTTTTACAGAATCTTTGCATGTTCCATTTTTTGCAATAATACAAAGTATATCTTATGCCCAAAAGATCCTATTAGCATTTTTATTTATATTATGCACTTTACTGATTAATTTAGGGCAAACTGACATATTGTTGATGTTAGGTTATACTATCTACTGGAATATTAGTTCCTAGATAGAAGGGATTTTCTCTGTTTTGTACAGTGCTGTATCTCCGGAGTCGAGGATAGTGCCTGGTACATAGTAAGTGCTCAGTTTTTATTGCATGAATGAATGAGATGCCTTTTCATTTGTTCTAATCTTATATACCTCAGAAATGTTTTAAAGTTTTCTTCACATACATCTTGGACATTTTTCTTAAAGATTTAACTTTTTGGATACTGTAAATGGGTTTTTTTCTGCTATGATAACATCTAACTGGCTGTTGTTTGCTTATATAAAGGCTACGGTTTTTTTCATATTAATTTTATAACAATCTGTTATTAAATCTTATTTTTTTGCAAGACTTAAAAAAAAATTCTCTTGCTTTCACTAGGCATCGTATTATTCTTGAAACTTTCTAGAGTTCCGTGATTAGAAGTATTGAATTGCACTCCCAAAGAAAAATGGCAAACAACTATATCCCATTCTATAAGTGAGATTCTTGTTGGTCAGGTTGAGTGAGTACCCATACAGATGTAAACCTGCAATTTTTTTTCTAAGATAATTAAATGTGGTGATTAAGGAAAATGTCAAATCTGCAACCATCTTATTCCTTGCCAGTTGGGCATTATCTGTTCCCTGTGCCGCTCGCTAATTTGGAGAGACTACAGTCTTTGCTACATGGTCCTCTTGATTGGGGAAGGGGGGTGGTTATCTGCAATTTAAATCACAAAGAAATAAATTATCAGTACCTACGGACTTGCCCAAGTTCCACCGTTTCACTGCAGAGCTTGCTTTAGTAAGCCTTGATGTATAAATGAACTCATGCAAATTAATGCATCTGTCTTCATTTCTCTTTGCCATTAGATCATTACGCAAACATTAAACACCAAAAAAGACATAAAATGATTGATTGGTCTAGTGGAGAGTGTAGGTTAGCTGAAAGCAAACTCCAGAAGCATGTTCCTTCCTCTCCAAACCGCTTCTTTTCTCCAACCCTCTTCAGAAATACCCATAAAAGATTTAGTACTTCAGGAACTGAAGATACTTATTGGCAGTTAACCTTATGATTCAGTGCATCTTCTTGCAACAATATTCTCTCTTTACTCCTTAGTTTTGCCTAATTTAGATTCCTCCTTTGGTCTGTTCCGCGTAGCTAATCCTGATCGATAAATACAGACAGATTAGACAGAAGACAAAATCGTGACACACATGTTGCATTTGGAACAGCAATCCTTCAGTTTACATTGTTGCCAGGACTATCTTCTCTGTGTCCCCCTCCGCCACAACCCACATGGTGGCACAGTGGTCTGTGACTCATTTGCCTCTGTGACTAGGCTGTAAGGATCTCAGACTTTTTCCATCTTTAGGTCTCATTGTCTGGTTCATAGTAGGCACTCGATAAATGCTTGAATCAATGAATGCACAAATTACTTCATTGATACATGAATATTTTTCGTGTTGTTTAAATCAATTCTTGGGGAAAGATTTGAAATATTTTTAAACAAGATGGAATTGACTATTACCAGGTTAAAAAGTAGCCCAGAAGGATTTATATTTTAACAGAGATCAAATTAAACTAAAGGAATTGAACTTTTCTAGATTTTTTAGGATTGAGTCAGAAGCCTAGGAAGGACCTGAGTTCCCTCTAGAGAAAACTGCATTGTCCACATCCCACAAGGCTGCACCTATGTACTGGTACCCCATTTCAGGAGGGAAGCATGTTCTTGAAAACCAGAGTAGGAATGAAGTTCTTATTAATTAAAACTTACTTCTCCCTTGCCTGGTATCACTCTTTCGTAGTTGCTTCTTTGTGCATTTCTGATTGAACTTTAAGATGGGCCCTTAAAAAAACATGCTTTCAACCCGTCAAATTACAATCTATACTCAAATACTTAAATATACAGGATCACTCTACGCATTTAAAGAAAATGCAAAGAATTCTTTTGTTGGGCAAAATCATTGAGCACATTATGTCTCTGTAGTGTGAATAGTCATCTATTATGTAATTTTTATTCCTTTAATTATTAACTTTATTTTTTAAAGTAGTTTATACCTTCTCTTTTGCCAAAAAGTACTTATTGGGGAAGGGAGGGTATTTGTTAAGCCGATTTCTTCAAATATCAGTTGGGCCTGTGTATGTTTTTATAGGATGTATAGGGGATTGTTTTGTTCTATTTTAAGGGGGCACAATGAAAATGCACACTCTGATGGACTTTTTGTTACAAATGCTTCTGGTAAATGATTTAAAAGACCCCGTGCATTTATGTACTTGAGAATAATATTGGTTCTTGAATTTTAATCATCATGTGGTCTCTAAATGTAGCAAATAAAGCTGACATCATTCACATGCAGAGACTCTTCCTTGGCTTTTACTTTAAAGGGCGACAATAACCCACATATGCATCGTCGTGAAATTGCCACGAGAAGGAAGGTATGCTGGGGTACTAAGGTCACAGAGACTGGCAGCCTCGAAAGCCCTGCCTAGAATGACGTTCTGTACATCACTGAGGAAATCGGTGACCTGTCCCCACTCCCACTTGCCTTCTTTCTCCTGCTACTGTGTTCTTCTTATTAGAACAGATGAGAGATTGTTTTCTTCCCGGACACAATTTGATTCTTTTCATTGGCTCATGGGATAGTAGTGTACCAGCAACAACAACTTAAAAACTTTTATGATAAGCGTTCATATAGATTTTTGAAATGATTAACTCTGTTTTATGTAATTAAGGAAAGGGCGAAGGCGTGCAAATGATTTTTTTGGGTTTTGACTTTGAAAAATAAAGTCTGTTCTTGCATTTTAAATTATGTCTTTGAAGTCCTAGAAGCTTATAACCTCTGAAATCCAAAACTCGTTTCAGAAGTTGTTGGAAAACTGTCCACTTTCCCCATTCCTACCCAGAAAGTGTGTATGCAGAGGGAGGAATAACGTCACAGAGAATTTTAAAGCAGTGTTTATCTTAATTAGCCTCTGGATTTGTGAACATTGACTGTCTCGTTTTTATTTCTGAAAGGAAGGATATTCTTACAATTTCTTACCTTGGGTTGTGCCTAAAATCAAAAGATTTGGGCTCCCTTTTGATGTATAAACATTACTCCTACAAGATCTGTGAGATTTTAAATTTTTATATGTAGAGAATGAGGAACTTACAGCAATTACCCAGGTTTCTGAGGACCAACCCTGCCTTACCATATTGTGACTCATTCTGTATGAAGTGGTGTGAGTTGTGACATGAAGCTATTCTACTTTGTTTTCTGAAAGACAAAAAGGAAAAGTAGAGAGTCAATAATTTTTTTCTCAAACCTATGGAAAGCTCTCTTCTCTTGTATCAGCTGTCTTCATCAGCCAAAATGTAACATGAACTTGGAGTCTGCTGCTACACTGTATGCATTTGTATTATTATTATTTACTTACTTACTTACTTACTTACTTACTTACTTATTTATTTTAGGCAAGGCGACCCTTACCTCGCAGATTGCAAGGACCTTGTCAGTTTACGATCCCTTATTTTTTTAATTTTTTATGCCTACAGCACCTGGTCTTCCTAGGTGGTCTCCCATCCGAGTACTAACCAGGCCCGACCCTGCTTAGCTTCTAAGATCAGACAGGATCGGGCTTGTTCAGGATAGCATGGCCATAGACTGTATTATTATTTAAAATTGTGTCCTAGCCCCTTCTTATACAACTTTCAGTTGTTGTTTTTGGAGTTACAAGGAGAGAAACCAGAGAAAGTCACTTGAGAATGGCAGAAAACAAAGGGTGAATATTATCATTTGTACAGAAGCCCTATTGGACTATCTGTTGTGAACCTAGAGCGAACTGCCCCACAGGTACCCATTTTAATAACCTATAATGGAATATATGCATTCGCTCTTTATGTGATACTCTGCAACTTGCAATGAAAAGAGGCCACAGATCTTTTCTCATAAAAGAAAAAGTGGAAAGAGCTCATGAGGAGAAGTCACTTCACCACACACAAAACATCGTGTGCTTCTAATCTCGTTTAGTAAGGCAAATGCTTTTCTTTTAACAGAGGAATTCAAGGGCTCCACCGTCGTTGAATTGATGAAGAAAGAAGGCACTACCCTTGGACTGACTGTGTCAGGCGGAATCGATAAGGACGGCAGGCCGAGAGTATCTAACCTGCGGCAAGGAGGAATTGCTGCTAGGTAACTGCATCTCAGAGAAATGTCGGAAAAGGGACACGGGTGTAATTAATTCAAAAATTAAAGTTCCATCAGAAAAGGTCACTAATAAATAAATGACAACTACCATCTGCTGGGCAGAAGCACAGTGGGGGCATGTTTCAGAAGTGTGGCTCTTCTAGCCTGTGCCAAAGTCATCGGGGAGATTATCTCAGGAGCAACCAGGGCCTCATAAGATTTTAATTTTAAAATGCCTATATGGCTTTAGTTTCAAAATGTGCCACTGAACATAGACAGGCTGCATTGGGAATGAGACACTTTGATCGGTAAATATGCAACAGATGACCCATATAATGTCTGTGGGGAAAACTGCCATAGAAGGGCCTGGCTAGCCTACAAAGAGTGGGAGGCCCAGCTCCAAGTTTCTAAGTAACAATTTTGCTTGTCCTGCATCTTCTCTACTTTTTTTGTGTGTGCGATTTTCCTTTTCATCAAGACAGGTGGTTTCTCAAAAAACGAAAGTTTAGATGAGGTCTCACTTTGTCTTTGTTGCAATGAACTGCAAATTGCACTAGTTATTGCTGAAGACAGAATGTCCTGGATGATGGGCAGGGGTGGGCTTGCTTTATAGACAAACTCGAAATTTACCTCAGAAAGAGGGGATGGAATGGACACGTTCCATTAAAAGTGAGGTTGATGTGCCTTAAATACTCTTTGTCCACATGATCACAAATTAAGTTTTAGAGTTCTTGCCTTATAAAGTGTCATTTGAAATAGTGATGATCACCCTGTTTGAACAATTAATTTATAAACTTAATCTAACTGATTGCTCCGTCATCTCAGATATTATTTGTGAAACAGGCCGGTGTCAGCACAGGCATCTTAATTTCTTTTCTTCAGGCTTTAAGAGATGTCTTTCCACACTCACAGCCTCCTTTGCTTTATAACAGACATGGTCAACCCACGATGCTCAGGCTTTGTATGTCTCCAGAGCTTCTTCATATGAAGCAGCTGTGGGTAGGGGGAAAATGCCATTTTCAGTTGCATTGATGCTGTAATTAAAAGTAGTGCTGTGCCAATTACATTGAGTAGTATCAGTCACCAAATATTCATTGTTTAAGGCATTGCCATTATAATTAAAGATAAGAGCCCTGCCCTAAGGAGCTTATAATCTATTAGAGGAGATATGGTATTAAAAACATGAAAAGTTCGAAAGCAATAATAACATTGCTTAATAGTAAAAAGTGACAACATAAGTGTTGTCACAGAGCATTAGGTGATTATGGGCAATTTACCTCTAATTCTGTGGTAAGAGTGACAGCATGTACTGCAGGCTGGCTCAGATTAGGAAAATTCACCGAAAGAAGAATGATTGGAAATGGACTTATATAAAATAAATGAATGAGGTATTCCTCCTTGGGAAGAAAATATTATTAAAGGTCTTTATCCATGACACAAATTTTAAGTCCTATCATTCGCCTCGCTGCCTGCTCTTGGCTTAGAAGTAGGATTTGACTAAAACCCCCAAAATAGCCAAGGTTCTATTATGCTAGTGAAGAGAGAAGAGAATGTTACTGAAACCCAATACTTTCATTGTAATTTCTTCTTCGCCAGTACTGATACTCTTCTTTATTTGCTGTAAGCAATAAATAGCAAAATAAGCCGACCCTTTCCTTAGCCCTCAGCAAACTCCGATGAAGATACTGAAAGCTATGAGGTGTCCAAAAGATAGGCAGCAAAAATGAGAGAGAATGAAAAGGAAAAAAAAAAAAAAAAAAAGTCCTGGTATGTCCAAGATCTGGATAATCTCCCCCCAGAGAACCAAACCTTTATGGGCAGAGTAATAACCCCATTCTTAGGGGCCAGCCATATCCTAGGAGGCGGGGACTTCTCCTGTGTCAGCCTTCTGGGCTTGCATGCCCATTCATGAAGGGAAAGTGAAAAATATAGTCAGACAGGCCTCTTGAGAGGATGGATCCACTGAAACGACATTCTCTGTTTTGCAGAAGTGATCAGCTGGACGTGGGTGACTACATCAAAGCAGTGAATGGGATCAACCTGGCCAAATTCCGCCACGACGAGATCATCAGTTTGCTGAAGAATGTTGGGGAAAGAGGTTCTTGACGTTTTTTCACAGTTGAGTATGAGCTGCCGCCAGTCTGTAAGTGATCACGACCCACGCGCAGAACAGCTGTGCCACATTTTTTGCCTAAAACAGTTGATGCGCAGTTTTTTCTCTTTTGCCATTATTGTCTCATTAGAGGAAAAGCAGAGCATAGTTTCTTGATATTTAAAATTATCTGAACTGATAAACTTATAACCTGCTTATGGAGAATTTTAAAAAGTGTATGTAACAATGAAATTATATAGGACTCGTGTTCCATTAAGGTGATCTGTGAGCATTGTATCTGCCACTTAAGCTATTTTAATAAACAGTCTTTGTAAGTTCTGTGCATTAAGTTCCATCCAGGCTTTGTCCTTAGTGACTAGATTTAGGAAAAGCGTGTTTAATGTGTCTTATTTTGATTCTTGTATACTTAATGTTAATTTCTGAAGCATGAAAACAGATTCAGAACACGTTATTTTCAAGTAATAATATAACAAGAGGAACCAAAACATTTTGAGAGCTTACTAAATATCTGACATTATAAGGAACCTAACTTGCATTAATACACTTAATTCTTAACACAAGAGAGTTAGCATAGCAGAGTGAACTTTGGTATCTCTCTTAAATTAGTACTCAGCAAAGTCAGTATCAGAACCCAGACTTCCTGACTCCAAAGTCCATATGTTTCTTCATTATGAAGTATACCGTATGTGTGTGATACTGCTGCCCTGCTTTTAAGCTATATGCTGTTCTAGAGCCACCTCTCTTCTTATTATTAATCTATTGACACAGAGTCTACCCCAAGAAAGCTCTTTGTTTTTCTGTACTGGTGAGAACTCAGGGTGAATATTAATAATCAATAATAATTTATTTGTTCAGCAAAGACTTATTGAGCACTTACTATGTTCTAGCCACCACTATATCGGTGGGGTTTGCATTCTAACAGAGGAAGATAGCTAACCAAAGTAAACCACAATAAATAAGTATATAGTGTGAATGCTGTGGGAAAATAAAGAACAAGGAGAGGGGTTGGGCGTGCTGGCTTGGGATTGTACTTCTAAATAGGGTGGTCGGGAACAGCTTCGTTGAGAAAGTGACAGTAGTCAATGACTTGGTAGAGTTGAGAAAGTTGGCTATATGGATTTCTAGGGGAAGAGAACTGCAGGCAGATGGAACAGCAGTGCCAAGATCAAAAGGCAGGGATCTATCTGGGGTAGTTCTAGAAATATTAAGAAGGGCAGTGTGTCTGGAGCAGAGCGAACATGAAGAGAAGTAGGAGAGGAGGTCAGAAATGTAAAGGATAAGGTGTTTTTACAGGGCATTGGAAGGACCTTAAAATTTGTGCTGAATGATATAGAAAGGCATTGTCTGGTTTGGGTCGGTGGAGTGACACGATCTGATTTATATTTCCAATATATAAATTGGCTGCTCATTAGAATAGACTGCAGTAGAAGGGTAGAAGCTGGGAGATCAGCTATGGGCTGTTGCAATGATCCAGGTAAGAGATAGTGGTAGAGATGAGGAAAAGCAATCACATTTGTGATCTGTTTTGAAAGCAGAGTCAACAGGATTTCCTGACAGATTTGATGTGGGCTCTGCAGGAATAGAGGAGTCAAGGATCACCAAGGCTTTGAGCCTGAGTAGCAGGAAGGATAGAGTTGCCATTAATGGGGGTGGGTAAGAAGAATGTGAGCTGAACTGATTCGTGAGGGGAAGATCAGTTCATTGTTTAAAATGCTGCAATTGAGGTTCCTATTGGACATGCAAAGAGGACGTGTCAGGAGCTAGAGATCTGGCTTGCAGTTTGGGAGAAAGATCCGGGCTAGAAATATAAATTGAAGAGTAATGAGAATGTAGCTGGTGTTTGAAGCTTTGGGACCGGGTGATAGCACTTAGGGAGTGAGTATACATAACCAATCATGAGCTTTTATTCGTAGCATAAAATCTAACATCGAAAATCTAATGGTGATTTTATAACAAAATCAATTGAAGTCTGTGATCAGAGCCTTGCTACAACACTTTTTATTTTCAGCAAGCTTAGGCAGTAAAATCTAGCATTTAGAACTTGGACCGTGTCACTAGTTAAATATCAGTTTTGCCCTCTTCTAGCTTTGCTTAGACATGTTATCGAATTTTCTGAGCCTTAAGTTTCTCATCTGTAAAGTGGCTAGAATGGATGTAGAATTTTTGTGAGACATCAAGGCTATAATCATGTCACGTATTTAGATCATTATCACATACTCAGTAAGCCACAGTGTGTGTTAGGCATTATTACTGTTTTATTATTATTACCCTGAAAGTACTGTTTTCTTGAACTTTAAAAGAATCTGTTTGCTTTGAAATCGTTACCTCAAACCATTGCCCACGAGGTAAGAGAAGCCAGCTATCTAGAGCTAATGCTCTTTGATTAAGCATTTTTACTGCACTGGGGATATGAATAATGATAAAATATCACCTCTTCCTGAAAGGAACTCTTAGAATAGCTTTCCTGGTTAAGGACAATAAAGGAAATTTTCCATGTCAAGGGTGATCCAGAGCTGGGGGTTTCTGGGAAGATTTGAAGTAGGTCATGCAGGTCCAGGAGGGAGAAGAGAGAGAGGGATCTTCCAGGCAGAGTGTACAGCAAGGAGGCAAAAACAGGTTGAACTACAAACGGATCAGAGTACCTGGAACCCACAGGGTAAAACAGAGAGTGCTGGAGAAGGATGAGGCCAAGAAGGAAAACAGCAACGAAATGATGAGGTGCCTTGTAAGCCGCATTGATGGAGCTTGAAAGGCTTTTAAAGCTCTGAGTTTTTAGACATCATTTTAAGAAGCCAAACGGAGAATAGATCAGAAGCTAAAAGCCTGAAGGCTGTTAGTTTTCCATAAGAGGGATGATATCCTAAATAAATATATAGCATTAGTAGGGTTAAAGGGAGAGAGTGGATATCAGATATATTCAGGGGTTAAAACTTGTCATGACTTGGTGATTATACCAGCTTTTCCTTCTTCATGCAATAAATCTGACGAGAAAAGGGAAAAAATATTTTTAAACACAAAAGTGTGAATTTTATAGTAGATACCAGATAGAAGAAGTCTATTCTCCGAGGATTATCTCTGTCTTTTTTTATTATGTTTGGATGAGTTAATAAGATCTTTGTGTTCAGGGAGGCTGAAGGGATTAATAAGCCTCCCCTTCACTGAGCTCAGCTAGCCAGAGTAGCAGCAAGCGCCAGCAATGAGGCCCTGGGAGGAGAGCTGACTGCTGAAGACGAGCCGCCTGAGGCTGAGACTGGTAACTCTCAAGAATCATAGCTATTTGAGGCTAAGCCAACCTCAAAAGGTAGGAAGAAGTGGAGGAAGAGAGAGAGAGAGAGTGTGTGTGCGTGTGTGTGTGTGTGTGTGTGTGTGCGCGCGCGCGCGATCTGAGAGATGAAAAATGGAACTTTGATCTTGGGCAAACTCCTTACTTTTTCTGAGATTCAGTTTCTTTATGAAAATGAAATTGTCGATCTGTATGAATTCTAAAGTTCTTTTTGACTTCAAAATTATGCGATGTTTTGAGACTGTATTTAGAAAGAATATTACCAAAAAGTATCTTAGGTATTTATTAAGAACCAGAGCAATTCCTTCAAATTTTTAGTCACATAACTCCTAAAGAATTTTGAAATGTTTTATAATCTTCATCCATTTTTTTAGTTCACACATAAAAATCTTTATCCATACGCGTAAATAGTTGGAAAGCTTGTAATTTCCGGCATGACGTTTATTTTATACACCTATAAATATGGTTTTTATTCTAACCTTGGAGCTACATGTTTACCTCATTTAACTTTATGGAAAATGCCACAGAATCTAATGGGCAAAGGCAGTCTTCACTGTTAAACCATCAGTTCAATCAGACTAGCTTTCTATTAAGAGTCCTTCTTTAATTCAAATAAATATGTTAAAACCATGTCCTTATGACATCCTTCTTACTTCTCGATTCTAATTCTAAGGGAGATAGACAGGTGATGTGATGATGATGATGATGATGATGATGATGATGATGATGGCGGCGGCGGCGGGCAGGAGCAGTCTCAGCTCTCCTACACATGGTTCATTCTGGGATTCAATCTGAAGGAGCAGCTGCTACCTAGAGAAAGCTTTTCTTGTGACAATGGCAAAGGGAAAACAGGACAAGCCCAACAACACGAGTGCATTTCCAGCCTCTGCTTACATCTCCTAACATCCCATTGGTCAAAGCAAGTCACATGGGCAAGCCCAACATAATGAGGTGGGAAAGTACAGAACTCCTATTCTCCTGTGGAGGTTAAGAGTTGAAGAAGCAGAGAAGTAGTATATAATTTAGAAAAATCTAATCTACCATATTAAAATAATATGAATATGTAGTACATGCATATTCACATATAGAAACAAGGGACAACAGTAGAGCTAAAATGCTGAGGAGGAGTATTTCTGCATTGTGAAATTGGTTTCTACCTAACCCTTCTATATACCGGGTCTGATTCTTTGAGGAAGCCCTTTAATTGGATCTTTATGTCTACATACACGCATGTGAAGTAGAGTAAAATTCACATGGAAACATAGAATATCCTGGTACTGAATATAAAAACCCAGTCACCAAGAGCCATTCATACAAATAAAAATTATATAAATCAAATCTATTTCATTAAGTATATAAGAATGTAGTCCATATTTATATTTATCTTTGTAAATAATGAACATCAATAGTGTAGATAATCTAAAGCCGTAGATAATCCTAAAAGTCTTTATATTCACTTTAGATTTGATTATAAGATTTCATGGTCAGCAAGATTTAGCTCGAGCAAAATTAAAATCACAGTGCTTTGCATTCCCAGAACAGACACCCAGGCAGCGAGAACAGGTGGCCCAGAATTAGAATTTGGTTGTATATAATTGAAAGTCGATTTAATGATTAAACATACTAATAGTTGTAAACCCCTTTACAGAGTTCCTGCAGTAGTGCTCATTAATTATTTCTGCCCATAGCTTTAGAACAGAAAGATCATGTTCTTAACTGTTTTCTTCACATAGCTTGTTGGGCCATGGAAATCAGAAAACATTTGGTTTGAACTCAGTTGCTTTTTATTTAACTAAAATTGTACCTCAACAGTTTCAGCTATTTGTATGCACTGTTCCTAGCTGATTAGAATGAACTGAAATTCTCCTGATAGCAAGAATGACATTTAATCATAAGTGTACCAAAACATTTGGTTAGCTGTAGGGTTATGTTGTTTTTTAGCAGGTCCAACTCGTTACTGTACTTTATGTCCCAGCTGGATGTGTGCAGTTTTGTGAATTTAAGCTGTGTACTTTTCATAGTCCTTTGAAGATTCAGAATTTCTGATAATTAAAAATAATTGTAATTAATGTTTAATTAAAATATTCTCCTATTTCTGTAAATGGCAAGAAGTGTTCTTTTAAAAAATGCCTTTAAATTATGTATTTTTGTTGATAGTTTTATATAATATAGCCTTTAAGATCTAGTAACAATGTAAAAAATGTATCATTGATAATGAACACAGCATTAGATAATTAGATATCATTGTATAAATTTAATACAAGGATCTAAGACCATCATACTCTATGGTTTGCAAACTCTTGTGTCTCCATGAATAAAAACTTTTTTGTATCCATAATGATAAAATACCGATTTGTGAAAATTTTTCAGTCTTTATTTCAACAATAGTATATTATATAACCAGAATTATCAGTTTCTTGAATACAGTCTTACAGAATAGTTTAGTGACTATACCTTTTTTTGTCACTATACCTTTATACAACTTATATCCTCATACTGTTTGTAATCCGATTAGAGATTGCAACTTGGCAATGCAATTTCGTTTTGTGAAATGAGAGCAATAAAAAGGCAAACAACATAAGCATGATTATATCAAGCAAAATTACGTAGCTCTTTATTTTATCAATCACTAGGAGTAATATTTTGAAGGTACTCAGAATTTCTTTTGCCCTCCACATTTCATTTGGATTGCTGATGTCTTTGTTTAATTGCTTTGTATCATGTCATTTAATCTATTTGTGTCTGCCTAATCCACTAACGGCAGTTTGGGAATAATGCTTTTTCTTCCTTTGCTAGCTGCAAAAATAAATATAATACATTAATTGTTTCCTAAGGTTTATAAAAATTATATTGTTTTTGCATCTCACAAAGGGAAAACAATTGTATTTATCATATGAAGATTGTTTCTCTTGTTATATAGAGTTTTAACAATGTAAATGTCACCTTCTATCTAGAAATTGGCTGCACAAGAGGAAAGGAAGTATCATTTATTTTGATTCTACTTGAACCTATATAAATCACTTATGCAGATTACTCTTTTGTGGCATTTGTATGTCGTGCCAATTATTTTTTCTAACATTTTTTGAAAGGAAATTATTGCTGTTTGATTACTCAAAACAAGAATTAACTGCAATGTGGATATATACTAGTTTATGCCACATGAAAAACTTTAGAAATGTTATTATAAATCAAGACTTATATTTCCCTCTCTCTGCATTCAGCTGTTCAAGGATCAAGTGTTATTTTCCGAACAGTGGAAGTCACATTACATAAAGAAGGCAACACCTTCGGTTTTGTAATACGAGGTAGGTGACGGTTAGAAAATATGAACCATTAGGTATTCTTAGAGAATTTGTCAATGAATTATTGGGATTGAACTAGAAAGTCATCCTTAAAAAAATTGTTTCCGGCACATAAAGTCACCTTATAATATTTTGTGCCCACTCTTCTTTAAAGAAATAAAACAATGAGTAGGAATCAAAGAGGAATCCAAATGAACTAGCTTTATTTTCAGTTCATAAATACAGAGCAAGCAGTCACTGTCTGTAAACCTTGTCTCTTCACAGTCATCCTACTGATTTGTCACTTTTCAACATGTCTCTTGCCTCTCCTTTATACTTTTCTATATCACTGAGTCAAAAATGTTGATGAGAGATGTTTGCCAAAGAGGAGGGGTGTAGGAGGATGGGCAAAAAAAGGTGAAGGGGAATAAGGAGCACAAATATCCAGTTATAAAGTAAATAAGTCATGGGGATGTAATGTACAGCATGGGAATATCATCAGTGATATTGTAATAATTTATACGGTGACACATAGTTACTGGACTTTATTGTGGTGATCACTTTGTTAGATATATAACTGTTGAATAATTATGTTGTACACCTAAAACTAATATAATATTGTATGTTAACTATAGTTAAAAATTTTTTAAAGTTAAAAAACAAAACAAAGAAAGCCATCATTGCCATAAATCCCTGAGTTCATAATCTAAATAAAGATTATTGTTTCCCTTGGGAAAGAAAATGTTGATGCATAGGGCTTGATTTGATTTAATACACTAGGATTAAGCAACTTTTATTCTCCTGAAATACATTTTGTTATTATAGCTTTCTAAAAATAGATTGAAGATAATCTGATCCCTTGGGCATCTATATGCATCAGCTCAACTCATCTTATTATGGGATGACATGAATAATAAACATTTCAGATGACTCCAACTTGTCTATAAAAACATTAATTCTGAGCTGTAAATTTGGCTTTTAGTATTCTATTTTTCTTATTAGAGGTTTTTTCCCTTAAAGACTGTACAGATATTAACAGCACATTACTCCTAGTGTGACAGTGAGGTTCAATAGGGAACTATATAGGCTTAGGAAATTTTTTAACATTCACATCTCTCCATCTTTTTCTTTTTGTCCATTATATTTTGTACTTCACCAGAGTCAAAATTCTACCAAAATTATTAAAACATTAATCAAAATTAAGCATCTTAATAAATACACATGCATCAAGGAATAAAAGAGATGTGTTCACTCATACAGATACCTTAAATGACCGAGCTTTAAGCATTAAGTTTCATTCTGTGTCAATTATTTAGCAAATTAGTCAATCAAATACTTATTAAGTGTACGTCAACATGACAGCATAGGGCCAAGTACTCTAAAGTCAGAAGACAGGACACCTATCTACAGTAAATTACAGTCCAGTAAATTTAAGACATAAGTTGATAAAGTACTCAAGTGAGTGGTAGGGAAAATGAGCAACTAGGAACTCATGGAGTGGTATAGACCAGTAGGTATTACACTTTTCTGACCAGATCCTATTTTTAGATGGAACAACAAGAGCAATTTACCCTAATCTTTTACCTTAACCATTCCCAAATTTCTGTGTAAAAGGACTAGATGAATATAATGAAAAATCAGTGTACAAGTAATTGTAGCTGGGTGGGTGGTATATACAAATCTGTTTTTGCAGTATAGATATGAAAGAGAGGCACTCGAATCAATATGCCTGCAAACCTAATTATTGGCAAGCTGCCGTAAAAAATAGTGCTGGTCCAAATATTTATCACTAGTTGCTGTATGGTTAATCAATAACAAATCAAATTGCTAATGAAAGAGCTAAACCAACAGTAATTTAGCATTAAGAAGTATAAAGAATAGAAGCAATTGAAATCCACAACCACCTTAAGTCAATTAATGATATAATGTTAACAAAATGTCCTTTCCACAGTGTGCAGGAATTTCAAATATCTGTATTCATGTGCATGCATAATAAGAGTCTTTTAATATAAGCCTAGAATACTACCTGGTACATTGTCAGCACTTAGTAATGAATGAATAAATAATTGAATGTTACCTGTGTTTGTGTGGACATCAGACTTCTTAGAATTGTAGTGATTTTAAAACCTTGGTAATAATGAACCCATTTTAGTTTATGAGTAATACATTTTTGTAGATTTTAATAACTTCTTTAGTACATTGGTTGAACATAAAAGTTTGTGGAATTTTGCATAATTTTTTCATTGAGAATCTAATAAAGAACTTATATATTTAGATCAGTGTGAGGTCCATCTGGAGGGTCTTACTTGCTTAAAAGGCGGTCACCACCCGTCCCTTAAGAATCATATTGCAAATGGTGCCTATTCATTTACTACTGGAGAATTCCTTCTTAACCAATTGGAATGGGTCCTGGAACAATAAAACAGGCTTTTAGCTGATTAATGGAATTACATTTTCAATGCTATATGTCACAGATTGTGAAACCCACACAGTAGAACCTTGTACCCGTAGAATAAAAAATAATTTCTGGCCTAAATCTTGAAGAATTAAATTTCAGTTTATCTCCTTGCCACCAAGCTAAGAGAGATGCTTTGGACCAGTAGGAAAATCACTGTGCCACTAAGTTGCTTTTCACTTTGGACAAGGAAACTTTATCTAATCATTCTCAGGTATAAAAATTGTAGGTATGGTCTACGGCCATGCCACCCTGAACATGCCCGAACTCATCTGATCTCAGAAGCTAAGCAGGTTCAGGCATAGTTACTACTTGGATGGGAGACCACTTAGGAATAACAGTTGCTGTAGTCAGTTAAAAAAAAAAAATTGTAGGTAGATGTACTCATCTAACATATGCAGCCTGATATTCAGATTTGGTCTGCATTGTGGCACCACCTGGCACTGATATTTTTACGAAAACATCCCAGGGGGTGATGCTAATGTGCAGCCTGGATTGAGAATACCAGTGGTCTCTGGGCAGTTTCCGTTTTACTTTGCATCTCCAAACTTCTGTAACCTGAGCGAATCACAAACTAAATTTGGTTCATTATTTCAAATAATTATAAAGTGGCATATATCGTTAAATTTAGAGCAATTTCTCATACTTTAGCATGCATTCACTGTTATATATTTAAATTTTGACCTCCAAATCAAAATTATGAAAGAGTTTTTTCTGTCTTCAGCCCCCTATCCTTTTCTAAATTGATACCCCATCAGGGGAAGGTAAATATAATCTTTTTGTTATCGCATTGTAAAAGAGAAGTTATGTAATAGTATTTTTCTCCAGGTTCTTTAAGTTGACCTCTATACCTGTGCCAAGTTTGTCTGTTCTACCAGGCAAATGTTAAGGAACAAAGACTTGACAGTAATATTCATATTTGTCAGATACTGGCAAACTAGAGACCACTCAGATGGGCAGCCAGGATGGTGATGTACAAGGATGTCAGGTCACGTGAAGAATAGTTAAGAAGGTAGGAATGTTCACCCTTAAGAAGATGAGACTTAACAGGTGTATAGCCACTGTTTTTAACTTTCAGAAAATCTTTCTTGTAGAAGAGAGCTTATATCTTTGTTTTACTGCTCTGGACCATAAACAAAGGACTAGTGGATGAAAGTTGAAGGAAGATAGATATAAGTTGAATGTCAGGAAGAATCTTCTAGGTGTCCATCCATATGTGGCTCAAATCTAATAAGTAGAACAACTGGTGGACTCCAGTGGATACTGAGGGAGCACAGATTAAAGTTGTACAAGGGGATCCTGGATTAAAAAGAGAATTTATAATAAATTACCTTCTATCTAGAAGTTTCCATGTTTCTAAAAGTTCTTGGGGAGAAATTTTTTATACAAAACTAAAATTCTCATTTAAGCACTGCAATTGGCTTAACATAGTCTGCCAGATTTGCCCCCCAAAATTAGAACACAGCAATTTTAATGGAGACCACTTCAGCCACTTGAAGTTTTTCTTTCTTTCTCTTCTCTTCTCTCCTCTCCTCCCCTCCCCTTTCCCTCTCCCTCTCCCTCTCTTCCTTCCTTCCTTCCTTCCTTCCTTCCTTCCTTCCTTCCTTCCTTCCTTCCTTCCTTCTTTCATACTTGGATTTTTTCTTTCACTTTAGTTTTTTCTTCCTATATGTCACCCTGTAGGTCACTCACCTGTATTATAGCGCAGGTTAATTGGCACCAGGTATATGCCCCTGCACTTTGTTTATAATTGGTAGCTGTTCTATTTGGACTACTACTTGTTAAAATTAGTTGATGCTCTCATTATGCTAGTTGTTAAATACCTTTTTTTATGGTGACATTGGTTAACGAAATCCAGTAAGTTTCAGGTGTACAATTTAGCAGTAAGGCATATATTTCACAACTGTATAGTTGTGAAATATTTTATATGTCGCCTATGATTTATATTTATTGAGTCATATATTTTTTGAGAGTTGGAGAAACGATGACTTCTAAAACATAGTCTATATAAAACGACTAAGATTTTTAAGGCTATTATATGCCAGAAGGAAAATTTTGCATGTTTTCCTCCACATATCAACAAAATGTACTTCAGTTTCTCAAATTGTAAGTGAATTTTTTTAAATAAAGGAAGCTGTATTTCTTCTCTTTGCTAGGGGGAGCACATGATGATAGAAATAAATCTCGTCCGGTTGTGATAACATGTGTTCGTCCTGGAGGGCCTGCTGACAGGTAAACTTCATCTTTTTGTGTCACTATCCAAATAGATTAAATAAAGCTTAGGGACTTTGGCATAGATATTGATGAACTCTAAATTTCATAGTAAAAGACAGATATTAAGAAAATATGGTATTAAGAATGTGAAAAATGAAATAGATCAGGCTGCAGAATAAGAGGAAGGTTTGACTGTAGATTCAACACTTACTACCCTGTATTTTTGGCAAGTGGTTTAACAGTTCTTAGCTCAGTTTCCCTCATCGCAAAATGTAGATAATAATCTCTACATTTCAATATTTTCAGTTTTTTCAAAGATTAGAGGTATATAGTGCCTTGCAGGGGACCTGTCACACTGTAGATCCTTAATAAAAGGCAGCTAACTCTTTTAAGGCAGACTTTTGAAATGCATCAGCTCCAATTGCCAGTCTCCTAACTTGGAAAGAAAGGTGGTGGTGTTCTGGTTCTTACTATTATCAACAACCGTATCATTACTATTATTACCTTTTGATGATGTTTATGTATGTCAAGGGAAGTGACTTTTATTAAAAAATAAAATAAAATAAAAGACATATTTTGATCTCCAGAGCTTTCTCTTCCTTGCTAATATGAATATCTAAGGGATAGCTCTTTCCGCTTGTATATCGTAAACTTTGTGGGGGGAGGGTGGTCCCAAGTAAACTCACAACTTAGGTGTCCAGGAGATACATATTTTTGTATTAATTTCTACAGCAAAAGTTGACCCCATAATGACTCCGGCCATTAGATATTGTTGAAAGGCAGGAGGAAAATGCACTGATGCCCCTTGACTCTGTACTGCGTTTCAGACCAAGATAAATTTTTAAAACCTTTTCTTAAGCAGTAGAAATTAGTTAATAATACTAAACACTATTTATCGAACTCTTAGCATGTGCCAGGAACTGTGCTAAGTGCTGGACAGACATTGTCTTATTTTATCCTCACAACCACCCACAAAATGAGGTATTTTTATCCACATTTACAGATGACAAAATGAGTTCCATTATGGTTAAATGACTCGCCAGCTACTTCGTGGAAGAACAAGGATAGGAATTCAGGTTTATTTTCTTCAAAGCTCATGCTGTGAGCTCACCTTTAATAAAGAAAAAATCATAATGTTTAATATAAAATAAGAGCTATGAAGACACTAGTTTCTCACCTGCGCTGAAGTGTATGTGCCTTTGCAGAGGATAATACGAAGTCATAATTTCCAGGGAAATGTTTCGTTTTCCTTTCTCTTGCTTCTCTAGTGAATTATTCTTCCTGAAGCAAATGAGAATATTTTCATTTCTTATTAACATTTCAAGTTGGAGTTGACAGAAACATCAGAAGCAGTCTGCTAGTTTGTGAGCAAGATATCGCCAAATTAATGTAGGACTAAAGGAAATCTAAGAATTTAAGGAAAAAAATTTAAGTCCAGTTTAGAGAGTCATCTAGCCAAAAGATATTTAGGAAATCATTCTTATTCTTCTCAAATCCAAAACTTGTCATTCCTCCATTTGATTCTTTCACTTCTGTGACCCTTCCTGAGACAGGAAGGTTATAATCTGGAAGCTTCCCTGGCTGTACCCTAGAGGTGTCCCTAAGGTTCTGAGATGTCCTCTCCCCGTGCCTTGTGAGTCTATGGTCATAGCAGGGAGAATCATATTTGCTGCCTCTTCCAGTGAACATGAGACTGAATCAATTTAATGATCCCCAAATGTCCTTATAAATCAGTAGAAAAATTTACAGACCAGGGAAATTTTTTACCAGCATTTCTTATCCTGCTTGAGTTCACTGGTAATAAATTGAATGGAACCAGCAGGCTTTTTTCTGCTTACCTGGCTTGGGAAAAATAGGTGAATGCTATTTTCTGGGCTCTAATAAATCAATTTTTGACACGCAAAAATCTAGAAAAGGGAAAGTGTGCCTTTAATACTTTGGCACCCTGAGAGTTAATAGTGGGTAAGTTTATTTGCTAATGTATAGTTATTTTCTTATTACTGATTTTCACATTGCAGCAATTTGCTGTTCAGGGTTACCTCTTTACTCTCTTACTGTGACACTTGATGCTTAAAAGGAAATGCAAATGGGTTGGATGGCAGAAAGTGTGTGAAAGAACCGCTTTGGCTAAGTGAATATTAATGCAAGCCCTATTATGCTAAATTAATGGAGATTGTTCCTTTCTTCTCCCTTCAGAGAGGGCACAATCAAACCTGGTGATAGGTTGCTCAGTGTGGATGGAATTCGGCTTCTTGGAACCACGCATGCTGAATCCATGAGTATTCTTAAACAGTGTGGACAAGAAGCAACGCTGCTGATAGAATATGATGTCTCAGTAATGGGTATGTCAGAGTCCTGAGGTTGTGATCTCAAAGCTTTAGGACGTGTCACTGTATGTCTCTGATAAATGACTGTGGATTAAGAGTGAGCTGTTATGTCCTCCTGTAGCAGACAGAATTTCATCAATACTATATCATTACTCTGTTTGGGTTCAGGAAGAGGTGAGTGGTACTTTTCAGCAATTTAGAGTTCCTATGTCAATAGATTCCATTATAAGGTCTCACTCTGTCGGAGTATTTCATTTAGCAATCAGCTTTTTGTATATGTGGATTACCCTTTGGCAGGAAACAATTTTCCCCTCTAAATCACAAAAATAATATTATTAACTTAGGGCATGATATTTTTTCTTTTACTACATGGAGACTGTAAACAGTAGGGCATCCTTTACTTCTCATAACTTCGCAACATGAAGCCAGCTAATCAGAATTAATGAGAATTACCATTTTATTATCAGACCTAGAGACAAAGAAAGGAAATGGACATATATAATGCCATTGATTAATATCAGAAGTGGAGTGCATTAATTTTTCTTTAAATAATGATCCAATAGAAAGTAACTCTTATATCTACCCTTACAACTACTATAACACTAGGAAGATGTTTTAATCTGATTTTTAAATGTTAAGAGAGAGCCAAAGATTTGTGTCATGTTGACTAAGGCAGAAAAATTATGAGAGAATGAATTGGAACCTGAAATTGAAACTTAAATCATCTTGTAAGTACTTCTTACAATTATTGGACTTGATTATGTGACCTGACTTTACCAGCAAGTTTTATGCTGGTGAAATGTAGCAGAGGAAAAGAGATGTATTCTATAACTGCAGACTCCTTTCTTTCCCACTCTGTATGATTCATGTTCAACAGTGTTGCTTGAAAGTATTCTGGTGAAATGTAGCAGAGGAAAAGAGATGTATTCTTTCCCACTCTGTATGATTCATGTACAACAGTGTTGCTTGAAAGTATCCTTAATCTGTCTACTAGCCTGAAATGTCTTAGAGAAGTATGAGGTTTCCTAAAGAGTTTAAAGTGTGAGAGTTAAGTTCTCAGCTGGATAAATAGTACAATATGCCCTCAGCATGGAAAGTTCAGAAATAAATGAATTGTCCTCTTTCCATTCTTCCTTTGCCTTGTTTTCCCTCCCTCTTCTCTTTCTCTTTTTCTTCTGCTATATGGTTTTTGAATTAGATTTTCAGTTAGATGATTTGGGTTCTGTTTTCAACTCTACTGATTTCTAGCTATAAATTTGGATCGTGTTACTTATTTCCCTGGACCTTAGTTACCTCATTTGTCAAATGAAGACTGGTAATGCCTATTTTTAAAGGCAGTTATAAAGATAAAGTAAAATTATACAAGTAAAATATATTTTAAATGATGATATAATGTATTTTTAAAATTAACATTGAAACAGGTGTTTGACATACTTAACTTCTTCATTTGATCTGCAAATAGTTATTGAGTTTCACAGCAGGTACCAAGAATACAGAACAACAGACCTGGTCCTTGTCCTTACGCAGCTTGCAATTGATGGGGAGGACAGATAGTAAACAGGACAAACACTCAAAGTGTGATCATATCATGAAGGGCGTGAATGAGACTCTGTAATAGGGAATAAGGGCAGGCACAGGTGAGGGTTGGCAGGTGCCAATAGGGTAGTCAGTGAAGAGGTGAAAGGTAGGCTAAAACCTAAAGGCTTAGAAGGAACTAACTCCCAAACTGAAGACAGGCAGTAGTCTCTAAGGCCTGAGCAGTTTACCTCAGAAGGACAACCCCTCCCCCATGGAGATGGGCACCACTTCGGAGGAAATTCTTCCCTGTCTCATTACTGCCAGAGTCAGGGAGGATAGGTGACCCACCCGTCTGCCTTCTCCCCAACTCATACTCTTATTCTGAATGATGCCCGACAGTTTTCACACACCAGAGTTCTCAGCTATCCCCTAATACAGAAGAAAATAGGCCATCAGGGAGGTAACACATTAAAAGTTGCTAGGTATAAGATCAGTATACAAAAATTATTGGTTACATTTCTCTCTTCCTGCCAAAAACAGAGTTAAAATTTTAAGATACCATTATAACAGCAATAAATAATAAGATTCCTATTATTTTTAACTATCACAAAAGCTGTAAGAGCCTCCCTCGTATAGATATAGATGTAGATGTAGATGTAGATATATATATCTAATGTAGATATATAGATAGATATAGATATAGATATATTTAGCAGGTCCTCAAAAAACAGTTTCATTCAACATCGTTTTGTTATGACGTTGAGGAGTTGCTATAAAAACTTAACTCTTTATATCAATTAGTCTATGATAAAATTGGTTTTGTTATAACTCGTTTCCCTTGAGGTCACAGAACCTATCAATAACATTAAGTGAGGACTTACTGTTGATAAAAGAATAATTAAATAAATGAAAACCTACATCATGTTCTTAGGTGGGAAGGCTTTATATCTAAAAGATGCCATCTCTCTCAAATGCATCTATAAATTCAATTCTATTTAAGCTCTCAAAAGCACCTTGGCAGGGGACTGCTGTTTCTAAAATGTGTATGGGTTAAGAAAGGTCAAAAGGAGAAAGTAGCCAAATTTTTTCTGAAACAATATGAAAGCAGAGAAACTTGTTCTACCCAATATCAAGACTCGTTCTAAAAATGTGCCATTAAGTCTACGTAATATTAATGTAGGGAAATAAAGAGACCAAGGAAGAGAATGGAATGCCTAGAAACAGACCCCTGCAGATATGCAAACAGACGTACAGTCTTATATCAGTGGGGAAAGATTGAAATAGTCAGCAAATGATTCTGGGTCAATTAGTTACCCCATGGGAAAAAATTCAATTAAAATCCTACTTATATCACACCCCAAAATAAATGTATTTATGTAACCATTTCCCAATAGACTGCTATTATAAATATATTCCTCTATATTTCTCATTTCATCGTCAAAGATTGTATTTCTTTTTAAAATATTTGATATGTAATTCCAAATTGTCCTCCAGAAAGGTTTTACTATTTTATATTACTACCAGCAATAGTTTAAGTGTACCTATCTCTTTGGAACTTCTCAACACTGAATATTATTATTTTAGTCATTCTGATTTAAGTGAAAATGGCATTTCTATTTCAATTTACTTTTCTAAAAAGAATTCTAGTACAAGTGAATATTTTTTCATGTGAATACTAGCCATTTTCATTTTCTGTTGTCTATGTCCTTTATTCATTTTTCTATTAGAGATGCTCTTAGTTTTTTGTTTATTTGTTTGTATAAACTATTTATATATTGAACATATTAATCCTTATTAGTTTTTTGTAGTAACTTTTCTCAGTAGTTTAAACATTTTGAAGTTTCTTGGTTTTTTTTGTTTTTGGATGCAGGGTTTTTCTTAGGATTTAAATAATATTTTTTTCTCAACGGTTACCTAATATTCCAGGATTATTTAATAAAGAATCTATTATATACCCACTGAATAGTAATTTTTTTCATTATACATTAAGTTTTTAAATATACTAGACTCTTCATCTGGGCTGGTTGGTCTTATCTCTGTATCTAGTTTCACACTAAACTTCAGGATAGGACTTTTGAATTGAAGTCTGAGCAGAAGAGCTCTATATTACCATAAAAGGAGACATTCTGTATCACTTGATTTTTTTCCCAGTATTCCCCTATAGTCTTACTCCCTTTTTTCTGTTTTGTCTCCCTTTTTTATGTTTTGTATTCCTATTTTCTTAATTTAGGTTAAGATAGGATTAGCTATAGATAAGGTCAAATAATTGAGAATGATAATTTGAGGAAAGAGAAGTAAAAATGGTGCCTTAGAAAATCGTAATATAGGATACTTTCTATTAGAATTATTGTTCATCAAATATTAATTAACTTTTCCTTTTATAACAAAAAAAGCATATTTTCTTTTTGTTTTGCAACTTTTGGAATTACTTTTCTTAAAAAGAGTAAAATGAGCTCTTTATATAACACAACCTACTGGCTACTCTGAGAAGCCCAATTAATATTTCTTTCAAACTCTTCGGAAGTCAAATTTCCATTAAAAATAGTTTACCAATCTTATTTTATTCAAGTGACAACATTCTAACAATTGTACGATTAATATTTGATAACAATAAATTTTATAAAATTTCTTCATTTTACTTAACTTTTAGTGAGGATTTTTTAATGGGAAATATTCAGTAAAGCAGAATTTTTACCAAAGACACTGATATTTTATTTACCGAATATATGAGTTAAACATCAACTTTGTATTTCCTAGGAATCTAGGTTAAGTATTTGTCTAGAGATTATCAATTCTATTTTTATATGATATATTTGTGAATCCTAATGGAAAATATGCTGAGATAGCCATTAGATTATGTGGATTTCTGTTTGTACCTTTTACCACTCGCCCTTGATATTAGGCTTAATGATTTCATTTCTTTGTGTCTTTTCCCTCTATAAAATAAGAGTAATGATATTTACCCTATTTAGCTCATTGGGATATGAGAATCCTCAATAGATAAACATTTTAAATTAAAAAGCTATTTATTCTTAAAGGAAACCAGGTGATATTTAGAAGTACAAAGGAATTAAATTTATGAATGAATGTTTAAAACAAAATTTTTGAGCCTCCATTCAGACGCCTTTCTATTACTCTTAAATAAAGCTAAATAGATGCAAAAATTATAATAGAAAACTTAAAGTCTTAAACTGGGAAAATGAAGAACAATAACTTAGTAGTATACAAGGGTGCCATCAGGTTCAAATGGCAGAAACCTAATTTAGACTAGCTTAATGAGGGAATTTATGAGCTTATGAGGATGGGGAGTTTAAGATATATTCTGGCTTAAGACACACGCTAATAATGTCATAGGCATTCAGTCTCTCGGGTCTCCTTTCCTGGGAAAAGTTCTTCTTATGTCACAGCAGGATGGCCCCAGCAGTCATAAGTCTACCATTTTCATAATTCACAGTGCCAGAGAAAGAAATGAGACTGCATATCCTGTAAAAGATTCT